TGCCAGTCCAATGAAATTGTCTCTACTCCGTCCTTGTCCAGGTCTCTGATATCTTCCATCTCGGATCATTCCCCGTCCCCGTCCCTGGTTTCTTGGGCCGGAGCCTGGGCCTGGGCCTGGGCGTACTTCTTCCAACCTCAGGGGTTCAGGACACTCCCGCTTCCAATGACCCTCCTTCTTGCAATTCGCACATTGATTCCTTCCCAGTGGTGGATTCCTTCCCCGCCCTCTCCCTCCATTTAAAGGGCGGTAGTCTTGCTTCACTGCTGTGGCTAGCATCACCATCTTTTCCTTCTGCCACTTCTTCTTCTCTTGTTTCTCAGCCTCATCCCTATTCCGATAAACTCGGCGTGCAATGGCCATAATTTGGCTCATCAGCATCCCTTCCCAGCCTTCTGACTTCTGAATTTTCTTACGAATGTCAGAAGCGCACTGAGCCACAAAAGTAGCAGTAATCATTCTGCTGTTTGCAGGGGCTTCAGGGTCAAAAGGAGTCCATATACGATAGGCTTCCTGCAGCCTCTCTAAAAAGTCTCCCGGACTCTCATTTGGTTTCTGTTCTACTTCTGAGACTTTAGTCATATTAGTGGGCTTCTGGCATGCCCTGCGGATACCTTGCACAAGCGTCTGGCGGTAGGTGGTAAGCCTGGCCAGGTGAATTGCATTGTTTGGATCCCAATTAGGATCCTCCAAGGGAAAATTGTCCTGGAGATGACGGTCAACATTAAAAATATTTCCCACTCTGGCCTGCTCACGCAAATATATCTGTGCCTTTTCAATTATGTCTCTTCTTTCCTCAGTGGTGAACAGAGTATTCAGGAGCTGGCGGCAATCTGTCCAAGTAGGACTATGAGTATTTACTATTGAAGTCACCAAGTCCATCATAGCCTGAGGTTTTTCTGCGAAAGACGGGGTGTGTGTTTTCCAATTCATCAGATCCGTAGTTGTGAATGGAATGTACTGGAGGGTCGAAGTTCGAGGTGGCCGTGGTCCGAGTTGCCCGTTAACCAGCACAGGCTCCTCAAGTGCATCAAATACTCTTCTGAGAGGGGCTACTACGTGACCTTTCTCTTCGCTTTGCTTTAGGGGCCTCAAATCATAGGGGATAGTATTTGTCCCAAGGCGTTCTTTTAACAGCTTTATACGCCTGGCTGTATTGCTTACTGACCGATCAAAGTCTCCCTGTAACTCCTGTAATAGTTCTCTAGGACTTGGATGTACAGGGGTTTGGGGTGGGCAATCAGTTGTTCCACTAAAGGAGACTGTAGATGGAGTTCTACTGGGACTCACAGGTGGAATAACCACTTCTGCTTGGGCTTTATTATAGGACTCCAATGCCTCCTGAAGATATTTATCATAATCTATCAAGGAATCAAGCTCTGTGACTCCAGCCCCATTATTCCTTCCACTTTCTTGCCTTGGGGTTACAACTGGTGGAGTGTTTGGATTAGGCTCCCTCGATGTGGAGCATAGGGTGGAGGTGGAAGCACCTCTTCCTCTGGTCCCTCAAAAATGGGTTTGAGTTTATTTGGCAAGATTCCTTTCCTAGCTTCGGCTTTTACTGCCAATAATTTGCATTGTTGGACTTTGCATTCCCTTATCCATGGAGGATTATTATTTAATGTGCTCAGCCAAGAATCTATATATGAAAATTGTTCTGGGCACCCTCCAGTTTCTTTGGTGATGTTAGACCAAAGTTTGCTTGCTAAATTTATATCAAAACTTCCCTGAGGTGGCCATCCAGTATTTTGTTTTGGCCAGTCTAATTCACATAACGTTCTCAAGCGCTCTGGCGTCATTTTGACTCCATATGCTCCTGAGAAGGCTTTCTTAAAATTATTTAACATACATTCAAGAGGTGTATTTTCCCCCCTTGAACCTCCAACTCCCATTGTATGGCCCTGTGAAGTATCCACTCAGTCACTCACACACGCGCTTCGTGAGGTTCCTTGCCCGGATGAAGTCGCCTTACCGGGAACCGAAGTACTACCCACTCCACACTCAGGTCAGCTACAAATTGTACTTTCTCACACATACAATGCGCTGGATACTTCACCACACTCTACCTCCCAATCTTTCCCTTTTCCCTCCACCAGACCACCATCTGATGTACCCAACCACCTAGCGTACTCAGTTCCCCCTTACTGAGACGCAGAAGTTTGATCAAGACTTCTCTTCCTCCCAATTAATTGGAGGGCCACAACCCCTTTGTGCACTTACCCTTAGCTGGTTCCCTGTTTATTTCTCTGGTTACCCCCGGTCCGTCGCCGCCAGTGAGCAGGGTATCAGACAGACGAGACTTCTGCGTTCCCCTGGAAAAATGTTCCAGTGCGCGCTGGGTAAGCGGTCAGTGGTCCTCCCTCTTGTACCCTGCCCGCTAGGGCGAAGGGGCTGCGTTCCAGCAGACCACTTATCCGAGTCACAGAGGCACCATAAAATGTAGCACCCTGCTTGTGGTTAACGCTTAGCTGGAATGAAATATTCAACGCAGCAATAGAGAAATTAAAATAATAATTTATTTGTCAGACAAATAAATGAGAGACACAGTGGTATATGGATACCAAAGCTCTGCCTACTCCAGCCCTGATGGCCAGCACTTATATTTCCTCAGCCCAGCCCCCTTGCTCCTCCTTTGGCTGCCTCTGTCCAATCAGCCTGGTTGAAATTCCTATTGGTTGTTTGCTAGAACCAATCATAAAAGATACACCCATTTCCTATTTCCTTTTATGGGAGACAAAAAGCTATATTTCCTTGTATCCATAAATGGCAGACAAGTAGCCATATATCTTACATTTACCTCGACCAGGCACCTCAATTACCAGATAACCTTTGGCCCCTGTTGCCCTATTCACCGCAAACCAGATGGCTAAAGCAGATGGTGCATGGTTTCTAATTTTTTTATCTTAAAGAGATCTTGAGTTCACCTTCTCACCCACCATAATAGGAATCTAACATAAGAATCTAACATTTCTTACTTTCTAAATCCTTTGCATAATTACATTTAAGCCAATATATTTCATACATAACATAGATAGATTTTTAGAAGGAAAGGCCTTTTCAAATTAGAAGGAACTTAGTAAAAGCTAAGTTCCTAAGTTCTATAAATTCTCTGAAGCTTCAAAACAGTTTGGAGAGAGGCCTTTTTCCCTAACCAGCAGCTGTTTCTAAGAGCAACCTCTTCCATTTAACCTTTAACCTTATGGCTCGAGTCTTCTGTTAAACAATAAATTTCACTATTTACCAGCTCTTAATTGTGTTTTTGCAGCTTGATTGTATTCTGGTCAGTGTGACCTTTTGCTCTCTGGCTCTAATTTCCTTTTACAACCCTGAAATACTTTTTACAACCCTGAAATACTGCTATTTATAGCAGTGGGGCCCTTGAACAGCTGCCAGAGTATTCAGCTGGTCTTCTCCCTGGCATGAGAGAAAAATATATTTACAAATATAATTTTTTAAGCTCAAAGCAGATTTTGATCAGATGCCTCAAACATACACAAATTTATTATTGGTAACATATAGATAGATAAATTAAGGCTCTTTACAATTTTATAATATGCAGAGATTAACATGTGCTGAAAAACCAGAGAGAGGAGTTGGAGGGAGGAGGCAGGGGGGGTTCTGGTTTGGGGAGGGAAAAATAGGGGGGAATGAGGATGATATGTTTTTGATAAATTGTTATGTTGAAATTCTTAATAAAAAAAAATATTTTTTTTAAAAAAGAGCAGGTATCTCTGTGTGAATGAAACAGGTCTGTGACAATGGATTCTGGAGCCAAGGTATCCACCTTTTCAAAAGGATGTTTCAGTCAGGCCAGGGATCATCAGGCATCTTGATTGACATTTGCAGCGAAGAAGTGGGCTGCCCAGATGACAAGACACCCCCCCTTGGCATTGTCAACATCCTTTTTAAATTGTTGCACCCAGAACTGGACACAGTATTCCCAGTGTGGTCTGGCCAAGACAGAAGAGAGCGGGACTATTATTGGCAAAACCTGTTGGTGTTTTGCAACGTTCTGACTAGTTGCAGGACCTTAGCCAGACCTAGCAGAGTAAACGCAGAATCCACGAAAGCAATTGGCAACTTGGCTGCAGACAGGATAGACGAAGCAGGAACCAGAAACTTGTTTTGTTGTTTAGTCGTTTAGTCGTGTCTGCCTCTTCGTGACCCCCTGGACCAGAGCACGCCAGGCCCTCCTGTCTTCCACTGCCCCCGCAGTTTGGTCAATCTCATGCTGGTAGCTTCCAGAACTCTGTCCCACCATCTCATCCTCTGTCGTCCCCTTCTCCTTGTGCCCTCCATCTTTCCCAACATCAGGGTCTTTTCCAGGGAGTCTTCTCTTCTCATGAGGTGGCCAAAGTATTGGAGCCTCAGCTTCAGGATCTGTCCTTCCAGTGAGCACTCAGGGCTGATTTCCTTCAGAATGGAGAGGTTTGATCTTCTTGCAGTCCATGGGACTCTCAAGAGTCTCCTCCAGCACCAGAATTCAAAAGCATCAATTCTTTGGCGAGCAGCGTTCTTAGTTAGGTGTTTATTATATACAGTGGACTATTTACAGGAACAGAACACGGATCTTTTGCTAGCTCTCTCTGACACGACTCACAACTCCTACACTGACACAGAGCAACTGAACACTGAACTCTGAACTAACACATTCCAGTTAGTAGGCCATTAATTATCACTCCCTTGAGAGAGCTTGACCAGTCAGGGAGCTGTCCCCATGCCTCTGTTATCACCAGGCAGACTTACTCCTTCAGATTGCCTTCTGGCTGTCTGCCAAACCTTAATTGACTCTGTGTGAGTAGCTGCACGTACACAGTTTCCCAACAACTATGACTTCCCTTGACCTGGACACTATCTGTGGATGCAACCTAGAATAGCATTAGCCTTTTTTGCTGCTGCATCACACTGTTGGCTCGTGTTCAGCCTGTGGTCCACCAAGACCCCTCCATCCTTTCTGAGGTCACAAAGGCCAGACTTGCCATGGAGCTTCTCCCCTTGGAATCCTGGGCCGGCGTCTCCCGCAGGGAGAAGAACCTCTTCCTCTCTTCCTCCCCCCTCCCCAGCACCCTCAGAAGCCTCTCCCATGGCCCAGCCGGCCAGTCGGTGGGCAGCGCAAGGTCCAAAGCGGGGGCCGGCCTGTTGCTGATGCCCTCGGTAGCTCCTCCTGCGCAGCCATGCAGATTGGGTTGGTCAACTGGACAGGCGGGTATCTGACTGGGGAATGCTATGGCGACGGCGTCAGCGTCTTGGGAAACTCACTGGGGAAGAAACAGGTATCCCCCCGGAAGCCTCAAGTGATGCTCAATTTTCTCTATTGAGTTCTGTTCCAGAATGAGTGCTATCAGCCAGTGTCAGATTTGGGGCTGTTTTCCACTGAATTGCAATGGTCAGGCCTGTCCAAAGTCCGTTTTGGGGGGCTAATCGGGTTGGTTTAATCTGGCCCCTGTGGCAGTTTATTTCCTGGGGGTAAAATCCTTTATAAAGTTCAACAACTTCAATCCGGAAAAAAAGGTCAACAACTTTGGCCGGCCCCCGACACATGTTCACTTCATCACATCTGGCCCTCTTTGAAAAAAGTTTGGACAGACACCCCTGCTAATGGCTATCTATGCTGCCAAGGTCATATATGACCGGTTCTTCTGACTATCTATCTTATCTATGTTAATACCATCAAAAAACAGTGCTTAGTTTCCTTTTTAGTTGCTGTTTTATACGATACGATAATCTTTATTGTCATTGTCCCATACAGAACAATGAAATTGAAAAAATCTACATCAGACATTCCAAAACCCACAAGCCAGCTATTCCAGCCTGGTTAACCCCTAAAAACTCTGATACCCCATAACTGAATACAATATATTCACATAAAGACTACCTTAGTAAAGGTATAGGGACCCCTGACCATTAGGTCCAATCGTGACCGACACTGGGGTTGCGGCGCTCATCTCGCTTTATTGGCTGAGGGAGCCGGCATACAGCTTCCGGGTCATGTGGCCAGGAGGACTAAGCCGCTTCTGGCAAACCAGAGCAGCGCACGGAAATGCCGTTTACCTTCCCGCCAGAGCGGTACCTATTTATCTACCTGCACTTTTGATGTGCTTTCGAACTGCTAGGTGGGCAGGAAAGACTGCCTTACACTGTGTTTAAAAACCAAAATTGCATTTGGATAGAAACTGTTTCTCAGGCTCTAGTCCTGGTCTTTATAACCCTGTATCTTCTTCCAGAAGGCAGAAGCTGAAAGAGATCCTTTCCGGGGTGCGCACTATCCTGCGCTATCTCTGCAGCTTTCTTATGGCACCTGGAAGCGTAGATTTGATCCAAGGTGGGAAGAGGGCACCCAATTATCCTCTCCGCAGTCTTTACAACCCTGGACAGCATTGTTTTTTCCCTGACCGTGCAGCTCCCAAACCACACACACAGACCATAATAATAATAATAATTTAATAATAATTTATTATTTATACACCGCCCATCTAGCTTGGTTTCCCCAGCCACTCTGGCCAGCTCCCAACAGAATTAAAAGCACAACAGAACATCAAACATTAAAAGCTTCCCTAAACAGGGCTGCCTTCAGATGCTTTCTAAATTTTGTTAATGTTGTTAATATTGTTCTATGGATGATGAGTGCTGTAACATTTCTGACTTCTGTTGTAACGGTGCTGTTTAGCTTATTTCTTTAGCTGCTTTGTTAATAGCGTTTCATCGATTGTTTTGCCGATGATTTGTTAATTGTTCTGTATGATTTGTGTTACATTTGTGATTTATTGCTTGTAAGCCACTTTGCGATTTGTGCGAATGGCGCAGAAATATGATAAATCAGCCCAGAGAAATACCCAGGGACATTTCTTTGGGATCTGTTATGTACTGAGTTGAATATGATCCAAAAGGAAACAGTCTGATTGGTCCACAGGAGCCACCCAATCCAGCTCCAGGTGGAAGTGAATCTGCAACCTGATTGGCCTACAGGTGAATCCTGGAATTAGCCAATCACGTGGGGCCCATTATGTAAATAATGTATATAAAGCAGACATTCTGGGGGAACTTCCATTCCTCCTCACCACTATGAGCTGAATAAAGAGCATGAAATCCACTCTCGACTCCGGGTATATTTCAGGATCCCTGCTGACCTGCCCCTCTCGCCCCCTGCAGACCTGGGACCTGGAGGTGACCACGAAGCCCGGGAAGTTGACGCTGGCCGTGCTGAGGGGCCACCAAGGGCGCTGCCTCCTGGTGGACGCGGATGGCACCGTCCGGTGCGGTCACCTGGCCTCGGGGCGGCAGAGCCAGTTTGTGCTGGAGGTGCACTCCAGCGGGGCCTGGAGCCTCCAACATCTGGAGAGCAAGAAGTTCCTGGAGTCGGATGGGGAGGACGTCTTCTGCGTCTGCAGAGAGCTGACGCGGCGCCACATGTGGATGCCCCAGCTGGCCATGCATGCGCACGTAGTCCTCTTCAACCCCAGCAGCCGGCTGTACGCGCGGACAGACCCCGAGCTGAACCGCGTCTGGGTGGACACGCCGGTGCCTTACTGCGAGGAGTGCGGCTTCGTCCTGAGGCTGCGCTGCGGCGTCTGCCACCTGGAGACGTCCAACCACAAGTTCGTCTCCCGGCTGGAGAAGCTGGCCAAGAAGCCCTCAGCCGAGACGGCCTTCCACCTGAACCTGAGGCCCGGCTGCCTGGCCTTCCTGACCGACAGGGAGGGGCACATCCTGTACCCGCAGGGCAGCCGGGGGCTCCTGTGCCTCGGAGACTGCCCCGAAGACAACGAGGAGTGGTTCGTCATCAAGAGGTGCCCGCAGTGGGTCAGCCTGAGAACCAGGGCCAAGAAGTACATGGGCATCCTCTGCGGCAAGTAAACCCGGGGGGAGCAGCAGGGGCCAGGCCGGGGGCCCAGGGCCTCTTTGACTCATGTCAGGGGTGATTCAGCTCAGATTTGGGAGGGTGTGCTTGATGACCCCTGGAGGTCCCTTCCACAGTTCTCTGGTTCCATCTAGCTCAATATTGTCAACCCTGGCTGGCAGCCGTGGATCTCCAGGGTTTCAGGCATGGTCTGTCCCTGTCGTTCCTGGTGATGCTGTCCGTGGGGACTGAACCTGGAAGCTTCTGCAGAATATTAAAAACATGATAAAACATCAAACGTTAAAAACTTCCCTAAACGGGGCTGCCTTCAGAGGTCTTCTAAAAGTCAGGTAGTTGTTTATTTCCTTGACATCTGATTGGAGGGCGTTCCACAGGACTCTAGGGAAACAAGGAATGTTGTACTTGACTGCTCCAGTGGATTACATCCCACAAAATCCTGAAGAGACAATGCTGCCAGCCAGTGTCCTGAGCTAGATGAAGCCGACTCAGTGCAAGGCAGCAGCTCCCCGTGCTGCACCTGCTGAGCTGCTCTTCTCTCCCCTCAGACTCGGAGGTCTACGCAGGCTCCAAAAAGGCGACCCCCATGTCCACGTTCCTCTTTCATGTCAGTCCCGATGCCCAAACCGTGCAGCTGAAAGACATCAACCACAAGTACCTGGCACAGGTAAGTTAGGAGCTCCTCCACCCCCCAAAGGCTGGGTCCAGGGTCCCTGTGAGGGCCAGGAGGTGGAGTTCCCAGCCCCATAGCCAAATGGTGGAGGGGCCACATTGCTATTGTCCCAAAGAGCATTACCACCTGCTATATCGGGGGACGGGGACTTTCATTCCCATGGGGCAGAGTGGCTGGTTTTCTCTCCTCACCCCCGCTGACCTGGTCTTCTCTCCCCAGAGGGAGTTCCAGAGTGTGATGGCCGATGGCTGTAGCAAAGAACCTGAGACCCATTTCAGCATCCTGTGGCATTATGGGAAAATCTTGCTGAGGGCGCTCAACGGCCGCTACCTGGGCACCCTCCCTGTTGGGCTGGTGGTCGCCAGAGCCATGCAGCCAGGTGAGGAGAAGGGGGAGAGGATGAGCCACTCCCTGGAACAAGGAGGGTCTCTGGCTGGGGGAGGTGGGGCGGGAATAATATAAGAAATATAACAGATGTGATAGAATATCTGGAGGTCAGAAATGAGAAATAAGCTGCTTTAACATTTATAGATACTGAAAAGGCCTTTGATAATATTTCATGGGCCTTTATGAAGAAGATAATAGAAAAGATGAATTTCGGGATGCAAAATTCCCCCTTAAAACAATCATCACACTAACAGTCTTGAAAATATCACTTACTCACTCAGAATACTTGTTGGAGAGTATACAGCAGAGTAATGAGATTAACAGAGACAGGCGGACTTGAAATGGCGATTCAGTTGTAAAGACATACTTTACAAGGTGCCTTAAAACGGTGCCTGAGCGTTGGAGCTCCGACTTAGCAAATGTTGCCCTTTTTCTGGCATGTCATAAAGAGATGGGGAAAGGGTGTGCCCAGGCAGGTAAGAGAATATATTGCTATGCCCTCCTCTGCCTGCCAGGGCACAGTGCGGGGAGCATCTCTCGCAGAGTTCTTCCTAGCAAACACGCAGGAAAGCTCTGTGAGCTTCAACTCCTATCTTGCCAAACTTGAATTGTTGGTTTGGACTACACTTTAAATATCCCACGAATCCCACCCCTTCTGGCTCTTTTGCAAAAGGGGTTCTCCTCCACCCCTAGACCTCAAAGGAAGGAGAGCAGCCCCCGTCCTCGCCAGCTGCCAAGAAAAGTCTGGACCAAAGGTCTGCCAATGCCTCAGGGACCCCGTCTCCTTGCCAGCTCCCAGCTGACCTCCTGCCCCGCTGCATTGCAGGGCCCCACGAGGAGTTTGGCCTGCGCCTGGCCAACCGCTCCTTCCTGCTGCTGCGCGGCTGCTACGGCTACGTGGGGAGCTCCTCCTGCCATGAGGCCCTGCAGTGCAACCTCCTGGAGCCCGACTGCATCGAGCTGCTGCCCTGCAAAGAGGGCATCTACCACTTCCAGAGTAGGTGAAGGGGGGAAGGAGGGGGGACATGCCAGGGGGTCAGGCCCGTTGCCCATCTGGTCCAGCGTCCTGTTGCTCCAGAGAGGGACTCACAAGCAGGATCCGAGCACAAGGGCGGCTCTCCCTTCCTGCTGTTTCCAGAAACCCCTACAGTCATACCTCGGGTTGAATATGCTTCATGTTGAGCGCGTTCAAGTTGCGCTCCACGACAACCCGGAAGTAACGGAGCGCGTTAATTCCGGGTTTTGCTGCTCGCGCATGCGCAGATGCTCAAAATGATGTCATGCGCAGAAGCGACAAAAAGCGACACGCACATGCGCAGACGTGCCGTCGCTAGTTACATTTGCTTCTGGATGCAAACGGGGCTCCGGAACGGATCCCGTTTGTATCCAGAGGTACCAGTGTACAGTGGTACCTTGGGTTAAGTACTAAATTCATTCCGGAGGTACGTTCTTAACCTGAAACTGTTCTTAACCTGAAGCACCACTTTAGTTAATGGGGCCTCCTGCTGCTGCCGTGCCACCAGAGCACAATTTCTGTTCTCATCATGAGGCAAAGTTCTTAACCTGAAGCACTATTTCTGGATTAGCGGAGTCTGTAACCTGAAGCATATGTAACCTGAAGCGTATTTAACCTGAGGTTCCACTGTATTACTGCCTCTGCCTCTGCACTGCTGCCTCTGACTGTAGCGGCAGAGCAGAGCCATCCTGGCTACTAGCCATTGAGGGACACGGGGGGCGCTGTGGTCCAAACCACTGAGTCTCTTGGGCTTGCCGATCAGAAGGTCGGCGGTTCGAATCCCCGCAATGACAGGGTGAGCTCCCATTGCTCGGTCCCTGCTCCTGCCAACCTAGCAGTTCGAAAGCACACCAGTGCAAGTAGATAAATAGATACTGCTGTGGCAGGAAGGTAAATGGCCTTTCCGTGTGCTCTGGTTTCTGTCACGGTGTCCCGTTGCGCCAGAAGCAGTTTAGTCCTGCTGGCCACATGACCCGGAAAACTGTCTGTGGACAAACGCCGGCTCCCTTGGCCTGAAAGCGAGATGAGCTCCGCAATCCCATAGTCGCCTTTGACTGGACTTAACCATCCAGGGGTCCTTTACCTTCACTAGCCATTGATAGCCCTCTCCCCTGTGAGTTCCTCTAATTCTGTTCTCGAGCCATCCCAATTGGTGGCCATAGTTGCCTCCCGTGGCAGGGAGTTCCACAGTCTGCATTGTGCGAAAAGGCCATTTCTTTCACCTGTCCTGAATCTCCCAATGTCCGTCTTTGTTGGACGCCCACCACTTTTCCGCCGCCGTTTCGCTTCCCAGGCCGCGGCAAGAGCTTTTGGTGCCTGACTTCGGAGGGGACCTTCAGCCCCTGGGGGAAGTTTGCCTTGAATTTCTGCGTCGAGATCCGAGGGAACAACCTCCTGGCGGTGCTGGGACCCAACGGATACTTCCTGCGTGCGGACCGGGAGGGCTGCCTGTTGGCCGACAGCGAGGAGGTGACCTGCGAGTGCCTCTGGGAGTTCTAGGCCTCGGGCAGGTGAGAAGAAGGGGGGCAGTCGCCTTGCCAGGGTTGGGGGTGGGAGAGGCGGGGGCCCGGCAGAGATGGGAGGGCAGAGAGCTGTGGGCCCCTCCCCACACCCGAGAGACTCAGCCACCAGCATAGACCCCGGACCCCACTGTGGCACCTCAGGGGGGTGAAGCTTTTGGCTCCCAGAGCCACTTCCGCCTCCCTCTTGCAGGACTCCCCTGGAGGTCTCTCTGCCACCCAAAGCCTCCCGGACCACCCACTGTGTGTCAACAGAGACAGAGGCGGAGCCAGGGGTGGGGCAGTGAGGTCACCCCCCCTCAGGGATGACACCTGGGGCGGTCCGCACCCTCCCTTCCTCCGCCAGTGAACAGAGATCCGAGATCCGAACTGGTTCCTGATTTGCTACTGGGCCATGTTCAAGGTGTTACTACAGTGGTACCTCAGGTTTAGACGCTTCAGGTTACAGACTCCACTAACCCAGAAATAGTACCTCAGGTTAAGAACTTTGCTTCAGAATGGGAACACAAATTGCCCGGCAGCAGCGGGAGGCCCCATTAGCTAAAGTGGTGCTTCAGGTTAAGAACAGTTTCAGGTTAAGAACGGACCTCCGGAACAAATTAAGTACTTAACCAGAGGTACCACTGTGTTAGTATTGTTAACAAAAGTCAGGTGTCTGCTCCGCTCTCTGCCAAGCAGTGGCAAAGCCCTTGGGGTCCCAGGCACCCACCCGGGGTCTGTGTTCCTCTGGAGGAACAGAAGATGCAGCACAGACTGTCGTGGCTTTAAGATACATGGTTTATTCACCTATTTACACCTTCAGTCTGCAAGGAGGGAGTCCAGATCTTACAGCTTGTTCCCCAAAGCAGAGCAGCGTTTATGGGTATCAGCTCCTCCACCTCCTCCTCCTCCTCCTCCTCCTCCTCCTCCTCTTCCTCTTCTTCTTCTTCTTCTTCCCAGCAACCCTTTCTGCCTGACCCCCCTTTTGCTGTCACCTTCAGCACTCAGTTACCCTGACAGCCTTTCAGACCCCATCTCTGTCCACACCTCAGGGCACAAACTCTCTTGCATTGTTAATGTCCCTCACTTGCTCTTTAGTGTTCCTTGATGGCCAAAGCTCAGCCACAGGAATCACCCTGTAGCTTGTGCTTTGATCCTAGCATTTATTCATTTCTAAGGGGTTTTTTTGGGGGGGGGGGCTCCCCATCTTAAATCTATAATAGTATTACAGTCACACCTCATGTTACGTCCGCTTCATGTTACATTTTTTCAGGTTGCATCCCGCAGCGACCCGGAGGTACCAGAGAGGGTTACTTCCGGGTTTCGCCACTCGCGCATGCACACAAGCGGCAAAACACAGCGCGCACATGCACAGATATGGCGCTTCAGGTTGCAGGCTTTTCACGTTGCAAACAGGACTCCAGAACGGATCCTGTTTGCAACTGGAGCTACCACTGTATACACATTGTATTATCAGTATCGTTAGTTATAGTATTTTGCTATGCTATACAGTGGAACCTCGGTTTTCGAACGTAATCTGTTCTGGAAGGCTGTTCAGCTTCCAAAACATTTGAAAACTGAGGCGCAAAGGGAGAGTGTCAATTTCAATGGTGAAAACTGAATAAACACGCAGCGGAAGCCGTTCAACTTCTGAGGCACATTTGTAAATGGAGCAATTACTTACTTTCAGGTTTTTGGCATTCGAAAACTGAAACGTTTGGCTTCAGAGACGCTTGAAAACTGAGATTCCACTGTACAATAAAGCCCAGAAAAACTTGGGACCAGTTTCTCTGCGAGGTGGCCTGGCCCCACTTGACCCCATTGATTGGGGGGAAGAATAAGAAGAAGAAGAAGTAGTTTATTTATACCCTGCCCATTTGGCTGGGTTTCCCCAGCCACTCTGGGAAGCTCCCAACCGAAAATTAAAAACACAATACAGCATTAAACATTAAAAACTTCCCTAAACAGGGCTGCCTTCAGATGGAACTGGAGCTCCCACGGGGGACACATAATACCCGTTTCTCATTGGTAAGAACTCACATCATTTTGTGTGGCAGCACTTTGGAACTCCCTGCCTAGTGATATCAAGAAGGCACCTTCAACTGTGTTTTTCCTGGCACCTGCTAAAAACATTTCTAACCAGGCCTGTGGAATGTGGACGTGTTTCTTCATCTGTTTTTAGTTTATTGCTGGATTCATCCTGCAAGTCTATTGAAGAGTTGCGCTTACTGACAATATTGTTTTATCCTTTTTCGTAAGCCGCTTTGAGGGGTGTGTGTGTGTTTTACATTCAAGCAGTGTTTAAATTTTGTGAAACAAATGAATTGCTGGGGGCTGGGAGCCTCGGGGTCCCATCCCAATCTGAGCCTATGGTTTTATGAACTAAACCAGGCAGGGTTCTAGCCCCCAGTGACTCGGGGAAGGCTAACCAGGAGGTCATTGTTCACAGGTGTCTGCCGGAGAGGAGGGCACGGAAACCCAGCAGAGTCCTTGTTGGGCCGCCCAAGATGTCCGAATGCCTTGGCCTTCTCTCCGCGGCCTCATCCGGACGCATCAGCAAAAGGCTTGGAAGCAGCAGCAGCAGCGGAAAAGGAGAGGGGCTCTTCCCTCCCACCCATAAAGGGGTCTCACCCGCTGCCATTCTCCCCCATTGAGGTGAAGGGGCAGATGCCCCCAGAGGAGGATTGGGGGCTGGGGTGTGGCTCCTCCCCCCTTGCAGGACCACTCAGGTGTCTTCTGAAAAGGAGCAAAAAGCAAAAGGACCCTGGCTTCTGGCTCTTTCAATGGGGGGGGGGGGTCCAGAGGGTCAGGAAGCGGGGAAGAAGGGCGGGCAGGCGGGTGCCCGCAGGATTTATTTGGACCAAGGACAGATCCCTGAGCCCAGATGCAACACCGCCCAGCAGAGGTGCCCCAGGGCATGTGCAGAGTGTATGTCCCGCTTCAAGAAGTAGTTACAACTACCAGCCCCTCCACCACCGACTTGGGGTGGGGACACTGGTGGAGGAACAGTGGGGCGCACCATCGGGGAGGGGGTACCATTGTGGCCGCACCCCGGACACATGCCGCATACCCCCCCTACCATGCTGGGCGTCACGCCCCCACAGGCAACGTGCCACGCTCCTGGGACGCGCGTCAGCCATGCCCCCACCTGCTATCCGCCCCCAGTGCCGGACCATGCAGCTTTGCCATGGGGGGGGGGGGAGAAGGGCACCCAGCCCAGCCTCTTCAGCCCCAGAGCTGCACCCTAAGCATGGGCTCCTCTCCTCACCTCGCGCAGTGGCCCTTTCCCAAAAACTCTTGGGGAAGGAGGCAGCTGAGCTATGGAACTCCCTCCCACTGGAGACAGGCATGGGCACCAACTTGGGTGGCTATAAAAGGGGATTGGGCAAATCCACGGAGGAGCAAAGGGATATGGATTGCTACCAGCCAGGATGACTCTGCTCTGCCTCCCCAGTCAGAGGTAGCCATGGTTCTGAATCCCAGCTGCTGGTGTTGTCAACAAAAATTGCCCTTTTCCTCTTGTGGGGTATCCAAGAGCCCATATAGAGTCCTTATGTAGGTTTCCTGTTGGTAGGAAAACATAGCAGAGGCCAACCAGATAGTATTGAGAAGCAAAGCAGCTAGTAAGCCTGATCTTTACTGATCTGTTGCAACAGGGTCCTCACTCACCACACGCAGGAGGGAGGAGGAACCCAGAACAGTGGCGCGCAAGGCCTTCTGTAGACATTTTAAATTCCCTGCTCTGGAGCTCAAGACCACCCCTCCATACATCATACATACATCACAGAAGGGGTGTAACCCAAGACCACCACCCCAGATACATCATGCCTACATCACAGAAAAGGTGGTCTACAACAGAAATCTGAGTGACTTGTGTATCTCATCCGACAGGTTACCTGTTTAATGGTGACTTGATTGGATTGCCTGGGGAGCCTGACCAGTCTTTTGTAATGATAAATACTTAGTAATGATAAATACTTAGTTCCTGAGCCAGGTCACAGGCTCACCCTATTCAAACACAGACAGACATACCCTTAAGACAGGATTTGTGAAGGAAAAGACAATAGGGAGGCGTTTCCATTTTCCTTTGACCTTGCAGAGAAAACATTTGGTCAGTTTGGGAATCAAAAATGGTTCCAGGTCGGTCCTCCTGTGCTGATCCATGTACGTGCTTGGTTGGTACATTTATTATATATCCAAGACCTTAAAATTCTTATCACACTGAAAGAAATCCATAAAGACCAAGCGGGCTTTCTCCCGGGCAGGCATTTGTCTGATAATACGAGGAATATAATTAATATTTTAGAAAAGCTACAAGTGAAGATTAATACCAAAGCAGTTTTGATTTTTGTGGATGCGGAGAAAGCCTTTGACAATATTTCTTGGAGTTTTATGAAGAAGAATTTATCGGGGATGGGGGTTGGTAAAAGTTTTGGAAATGGTATAGGTGCAATTTATTCAGAACAAAGGGCCAAATTAATTGTGAATAACGTAGTGATGGAAGAATTTAAGATTGAGAAAGGAACACGACAGGGTTTCCCAATCTCTCCATTGCTTTTTATTTCGGTCCTGGAGGTTCTGTTAAATATGATTAGAAGGGACCAATTGGTTAAAGGTATACAAGTGGGAGCTAAACAGTACAAACTGAAAGCATTTGCAGATGACTTAGTATTGACTTTACAGGAGCCAGAATCAAGTACGAAAAGAGTACTAGAATTGATTCAAGAATTTGGCCAGGTAGCAGGTTTTAAGTTGAATAAGATGAAAACTAAAGTCCTGGAGAAAAATCTGAATGTGATTGAGAGAGAGAAGTTTCAGAGAGAGACAGGTCTGACATTGGTTAAGAAAGTGAAATATTTAGGGGTTAATATGACTGCTAAGAATGTGAATTTATTTAAGGATAACTGAAAAATGTTGGACTAAAGTGAAAAAAGATTTAGAAATATGGTCAAATTTGAAGTTATCGTTGCTAGGCCGAATTGCTGTGATAAAAATGAATGTATTGCCAAGAATGTTATTTCTGTTCCAAGCACTGCAAATTTTGGACAAAATGGATTGTTTCAAGAAGTGGCAGAGAGATATTTCCAGATTTTAACTGATGCTAAAGAAAGAGGTGGATTTGCCCTGCCAGACTTAAAATTTTACTATGAATCAGCCGCTTTTTGCTGGCTGAGAGAATGGATGCTTCCTGAAAATACGGATGTTTTAGATTTGGAAGGTTTGGAAGGTTTCAATAATGTATTTGGCTGGCATGCATATTTGTGGTATGATAAGGTCAAAGCACGCAAAGCGTTTAAAAACCATATTGTAAGAAAAGCACTGTTTAATGTCTGGACAAGATATAAGGATTTGTTAGAAAATAAAACCCCAAGATGGCTGTCACCTATGGAGGCAAAGGCCCAGAAAAAACTCAATATGGAGGCCAAATGGCCGAAGTATTGGGAAATCTTGGAACAAGAGGGTGACAGATTAAAATTACAGAGCTTTGAAAAATTAAAAAACAGTGCGAGATTGGCTCCATTATTATCAAATAAAGAATCAAGTATGAAGAGATTGATATTGGGTAAAGAGGTAAATTTAAGTCTAAAATTGCGTTAAGTTAAATTATGGAACTAAATTTGTGAAAAAGGGAAAGGACTTGCTGGAATATCAAATTGAACTAGAATACAAAAAAGGAGGTGTGAGGAAGTCGAGGAAATAAGCGAATGAAAGATAAGGATATGAAAATATGTGATTCTTTTGTATGTTTGTTTGTTCTTTCTTGGGTTTTTCTTTTTTTTAAATGCTTTTGTTTTCTTTTCTTTTTCTTTTGTATTGTTGATGTTTTGTACTATTGTATTTATTTTTGTTTTTGAGGCTTTGTAATTGTTTATTGCTTATATTTTTCTTTTGTTTTTCTTCTGTTTTTTTGCAATGTCTAAACTTCAATAAATACTTTATATATATATATATATATATATATATATATATATATATATATATATAAACTTATCACACTGGAAACTGCAGGAGAGGAGACTTGCTCTTGGGCTTGGATCCTGCCTGCTGGTTTCCCAGAGACATCTTGCTGGCCACTGTGAGAACAGGAGGCTGCACTAGATGGGCGGTTGGAAAGTAAGATTTTGTTTTATAAAATTGATTTCTTCCCTCCCCTTCTGTAATTTGCCTCTTTTGGGGGCGAGGATTGGCCATCAGGGAACTCCCAAGAGCCTCCTCAGCAGTTGAGGGCCCTGGCTGGGGCCTGGGAGGGGTCATCCTCCCCCTGCCCCCTTGCCAGGTCTTGGGCATGGAGCTCCTGAGGTTCTTGCAGAGAGAAAGGCGGCCTCTCTTGTAATAACTGGCAGACCAATGAACACGGCAGAAATATATTGCAGAAATCACACGAGATTAGAAAACCCTCCCTCTGTCCCATAGCTCAAATCCAAGAGGTCCCCGTGTAACATCCTGCCCTCCTTGAGAGTCTCCAGATTCTCTTTCTAGTATACAGGATGAGTGCAAGAGAGGCTGAGGGGAAAGAAGGAAGAAGGGATTGCAAGGCTGAGGTCCTCTGAGCACCCACAGAAAGGACGGTGGGGCAGAGGTGGGCACCTGGTTTGGGGCTACGGACAAGGGACAGCCCAGCAGGCAGCCACCCCAAAACCTCCTGCAGCTTCCACCCCCCCAGGCAAGACAAGCAAGGAAAGAGAGGTGGTCCAAGGAAGAGAGGGGTAAATGCTTCCTGCCCAGGAGGGTCTCTCTCCTGCCCCATAGCTGCTACAGCAGCACTTGTGGGGTGGGAGGGCCAGGAATTACAGCCGTGCCCTTGGCAGGGGGCTCCCCACAGCCAGCCATCACCTCCCCCTTCTCTTCATGTTGCCGCCTTTGCTGTTGTTGTTTAGTTGTGTCCGCCTCTTCGTGACGTCCTGGACCAGAGCACGCCAGGCACTCCCGTCTTCCACTGCCTCCCTCATGCTGGTAGCTTCGAGAACACTGTCCCACCATCTCGTCCTCTGTCGTCCCCTTCTCCTTGTGCCCTCCATCTTTCCCAACATCAGGGTCTTTTCCAGGGAGTCTTCTCTTCTCATGAGGTGGTCAGTATGGAGCCTCAGCTTCAAGATCTGTCCTTCCAGTGAGCACTCAGGGCTGATTTCCTTCAGAATGGATGCGTTTGATCTTCTTGCAGTCCATGGGACTCTCAAGAGTCTCCTCCAGCACCAGAATTCAAAAGCATCCATTCTTCGGTGATCAGCCTTCTTGATGGTCCAGCTCTCACTTCCATACGTAACTACTGGGAAAACCAGAGCTTTAACTATACGGACCTTTGTTGGCAAGGTGATGTCTCTGCTTTTTAAGATGCTGTCTAGGTTTGTCATCGCTTTTCTCCCAAGAAGCAGGCGTCTTTTAATTTCGTGACTGCTGTCACCATCTGCAGTGCTATTCTCCAAATCACGCCCCCTCAATACATGCACACATTATCCCAAAGGATTTTGCTGTTGGCCCAGCAGCAGCCCAGCAAGAAGGTTTTGGTTGGATTAGACGAATTCATGGAAGAGAGGGCTATCAATGACTTGCTAGCCAGGAGGCCTCTTGGGCTCGGATCCTGCTTGCTGGTTTCCCATCATTGGCCACTAGGAGAAGAACAGGCTGCCGGACTTGGTAGACCCTCCTTGGGCCTGATCCAGCCGATTCTTCTCCAGGTCTTCTGTGCTAGCAGAATGTCTCAGCCCAGTCTACACAAGGTCTTTTTGGAGGAAGTCAACACAGCACGGAGAATCCCGACCCTGGAGTCCTCAGGGAGGCCCAAAGAGCAGCAGGTGTGGGCACGCCCCATGGCGTCTCTTCTAGAGCAGATCTTCCCTGTGGTCTCTCTGGGCCTGGGCAGCCCCCCAGAATCAGGCTCCCTGGTCCTTGGGGAGGAGGCACCGGCAGCGGCCCAGAGCTGGCGGGGCAGAAGGGGCTTCCGGGGCCCCGGACAGCTGAGGATGGGGGGAGCCCCACAAAAGGAGGCAAGTCTGGGCTCCAGGGTGGGGCAGGAGTAGCCCCTGCAGACCCCAGCCCTGCAGAGAAAGAGCCAGGGGTCAGGCGAGGGTTAAGGGGCCTTGTGAAGAGCAGGCCCCTCTTGCTTCTGATGCCCCAAAGGAAGGGGCGCTCGAAGGGCAACTGACCCCCTGGCTGGTGATGCCCTCCTCCTATCCCATGGGGGGGGGAATGGGTAGGAGCCAAAGCAGCTGGAGACCTCTCTTACCACAGAAGGGCTCCGTCCAGGCACAGGGTGGGGGGCCAGGTGGATGCAGGTGGGGCGGGAAGGTTTTGCAGCCGCCGGCCTTGAAGCGAGGGGCAAGGCTGGGAGGAGAAGGCTGTGGAGGCAAGAGGAATCATGGAAGGGACCCCTAAGGGTCATCCAGCCCAACCACTCCCTGGCCCATCCTGCTGTCCCCTATCTTAAAGTTGTAGAGTTGGAAGGGACCTCTGAAGGTCCTCTAGTCCAACCCCCTGCAATGCAGGAATCACAACTAAACAATCTGTCAGGCTTCGGGGAATCGGCAGTAGATAAGAAGATGAAAGAAAGGGACTTCTTACCAGTTAGAAACTGTCAGAACCAAAGCGAGAGAACAAAGAGCTCATCTCCTAGAAATGGCGGTGCTCCCAATTAAGGAATTACACCCGCTTCTGTCACTATTAATCTACGTCACTCCTACGTCTTGTAATCTGAGCTTGTGCTTTCTGTGCTTTCCGTTCTGAGACTTTCTGAGCTCTTCTCAACCTTGGACTGAGCGGAGGAATGCTTTCCAGAGACAGTGAATCTGTTAACCCTCTCCCTCCCAGTGCTTCTTCTCCTAGCTGTTCCCCATCCGGTATTTCCCAGCTTCTGCCTTCTGAACTATGCCCCTCTTCAAACCACTGTTCCAAATCTATACTGTCCTCTTGCTCCTGGGAAGTTTCAGGATCAGGATCCGGAGCAGGGGGAGGCTCCCACCATTCCTCCTCAGTGCAGCCCTCCTCAGCAGGTTCCCTGACAGAACCCCTGGCAGAGGCCACCCAACCTCTGCTTGAAAATCTCCAAGGAAGGAGAGTCCGATCTTGGGACTTCTGGGCGCCCACCTACCTGGTGGCAGAGGGCAGCGGCTGTTGGTGCGTCAGAGTCGGCTGCAGCAAAGCCTTGGGGGGCTGGTGCCACAGGAGGGGGGCAGCACTCCCACGGGGGTCCTAGGAAGGAGAGAGAGAGAGAGAGCTGTCTGCCACCTGCCTCGTGGCTCCAAAGCAGGGTTTGTTCCGCTTGCTCTCCCCACGGCTGCCAGGGGAAACTGGGAGAGCAGCTGCCTGCTGCCCTAGGGGTCCTGCCCCACAGCTCCTTGTCCCTCCCAAAAGGCCCTAAGAGGAGAAGGGTGCAGGGAAGACACAGGAGCCACGGACTCAGGGGGGGGGGAGAGTCTTGTGAGAAGTCAGTACACAGACTTCTCTGTGAAGCCCCCCCCCTTAGGGCAGGACAAGAACACCTGGAATTGGGGAGGGGGTCAGGCCAGAACCTGCGTGCCCCGTGTCCAGCGTAGCCTTGGCCTCTCGCTGTTGCCTCGCTCTCCGATTTGAGAACCAAACCTAGTGGGAATGAAGACAAAGTCACAGGCGGTCTGGGTTGGGGCCACACCCTGCCCCAGAACTCCCGGGAATCCCATGAAGCTGAATGTCAGAAGGTGCAGCACAGAGTTCACCTATGGAACTCACTGCCACAGGAGGCAGGGGGAGTTGCTCTTGTGCTCGGATCCTGCTTGCAAGGTTTCCCACAATGGGCGTCTGTTTGGCCCTGAGAGAACAGGATGCTGGGCCAGAGAGGACACTGGCCTGATCCTGCAGCCTCTTTGCATTGTTATAGGAATGCCAAGGTCTCACATATTGAAAATCATATGTTCATAAATTTACAAGGCAAACACATAAACAAGTATATAAACCACGTGTCTGAAATAGTACAGAAGAGCCACCCTGAAGCCATTTTGACTCTTCCAGGGACCTCAAATATTTTCTGCAGTGAGGAAGGAAATGGGGAAGCCTTCCCATTGTCCCTTTGCTCAAATCCTGTCTTAAGGGCATGTTTGTGTATGAATAGGGTGAGCCTGGGACCTGGATTCAGGAACTAAATATTTAGCATCTCAAAAGGAATGGCCAGGCTGCCCAGGCAAAGCAATCAGTGACCATTGTCAGGTATCCTGACAAACAGGATTTCTGGGGTAGACTGCCCCCTGTGATGTGTTTCTGTTGGAGAGCGCCTCCTTCTGTGATGTATGTATGATGTTTTGGGGGGTGGTCTTGAGCTACAGGGGAGGCAATTTCAAAAGTCTATATAAGGGCTTGCACACCAATGTTCTGGGTCCCTCCTCCCTCCTGCATGTGATAACCCTGTTGCAACAGTCTACTAAAGATCAGGCTTACTAGCTGCTTTGCTTCTCAATATTCTCTGCTTGGCCTCTGTTATTTTCTCCTACCAATAGGGAACCTACTTAAGGACTCTATACGGGTTCTTAGGTACCCCATAAGGGAAAAGGAGCAGTTGTGGGTTCCCCCCCCCCATAACAGCATGTTCTTATGTTTTCAGCGTTTGGGTGAGGATCCTGTGGCTCTGAGGTTGCTTTGCACAGTGGCGTTTGGGGGAGCAAAGCCTTTGTCCCGGGTGAGGGAGCAGGCAGCAGAAGGAGCTTCACTTACTCTGATGGTGTCGGCTGGGAGCCCAGTAGCAGAAGCCAGCTCCTCCCGGGCAGCCGTCTCTGGATACGGCCCTCTCTGGAATGCTGGAAGGGAGTTTGGGAATTACATTCAGCTGCCCCCCTTGCCCCAGATCCCAAAGCACCACACTGTGATTGACAGGACCCCTCAGATGGAGATGCAGTGGTACCTTGGGTTAAGAACTTAATTTGTTCTGGGGGTCCATTCTTAACCTGAAACTGTTCTTAACCTGAAGCACCACTTTAGCTAATGGGGCCTCCTGCTGCCGCCGCACCACTGGAGCATGATTTCTTTTCTCAACCTGAAGCAAAGTTCCTAACCCGAGGTACTATTTCTGGGCTAGCAGAGTCTGTAATCTGAAGCATCTATAACCTGAAGCGTATGTGACCTGAGGTACCACTGTATTGCTGTGATAATGACCCTAGACCAGGGGTGTCCAAACTTCTTACAAAGAGGGCCAGATTTGATGAAGTGAACATGCATGAGGGCCGACCAAAGTTGTTGACCTTTTTTTAGGATTAGTCAGCACAAAATTGCTCACCATGCGCGAGATAGCGGGTGGATGGGTCCTAGAGCCGCACGCAGGGCACACGCGCGAGTTGCCCAACAAAGAGCTGGGCGCATGTTGGGATGATCGTGGGGTCCGGACAAAGCCACAGCTGTCTGAACATCATGGCCTCTGTCTAACCTTTTGCGGTCTCAGTAGTCTGCGGTCTGAGACCTTTTGTCTCCTTTGTCATACACTGTGCAAGGGGAAAATGATGCGGTGGAAACAGGTGCCAAAATAACTTTGTACCACCCCACGATCTCAGGACTGGAAGATGTGTAAAGGTCACAGCCCCAAATGTATCTGCCTGGGTTTGCATATTTGTGTCAATAAAAGGAGCCTCCACAGGGCTGGCCGGCAGCTTGCTTGCAGCTCACCTGCATTATCAACTCCTGCCTCATGTCCATCACTTCAGCACATGTGCAAGCGGGTGAGTAAGCAGCAGCGCCTGTGGGGCCAGATTAAAGCTACCGGAGGGCCGGATTTGGCCCGTGGGCCTGTCCTAGACTCTCTGCCTCCCCTCAGAAGCACCCAAGAGGAGGCAGGCTGCCTTGCAAAGCCCCTCCAGGTGCCAAGCGGAAACCTTAACCCTTCAGAGTCCTTGCCCTTGTGGGGGCCCTGATCCTGCACAGCCCCAGGAACGCACCTTGTTCCAAGACCTCCAGCTGCTGCATGGAGAAGACCGTGCGGCTCCTGTTCCTGCCTTGCTTGCCTGCTGCGGGGGGCCTCGCCACCTCCTGCAGCCCCCCGGGGGGAGCCGGGGCCCCTGTCCTCTCCTCTGAACCCGGGGGACTCCTCTCCCAAGGCAAGGTGGGACCTGCAGAAGAGAGGGAGTGCAAACCAAGTGTGGGTGTCTGTGTAGCGAGATTCCTGGAAGCAGGACCCAGAGCAAGTCACAGAATCCTACAATTGTAGAGTGGTAGAGTTGGAAGGGATGCATTTTAAATAAAAGGACGCATTCTACTCATGTAAAAACACGCTGATTCCCAGACCGTCCACGGGCCAGATTGAAAAGGCGATTGGGCCACATCCGGCCCCCAGGCCTTAGTTTTCCTACCCATGTCCTGAAGCCTTTTCACAACATCTCTCACCTGACTGCAGAGGCTTGAGGAAGGCAGCCTGCTCTGCGAAGGGCATCCCCACTGGCAGACTTCTTAGGATTCGGTTGATGGAGGACACCTGGAGAGGGAGGGAGGAAAGAGACGGTGGCTGGAAGGGGCCCCAAGAGTCAGGCTCCAATCCTGACACATTCAGGAGGATCACACTGCAGAGCCAGAGGTGGTGTGGTGGTTAGAATGTCAGACTAGGACCTGGGAGAGACTGGGGATCGAATCCTCCACTCGGCCATGAAGCTCAGTAGATGTGGCCTTGAGGGACCGGTCCCTGCCTCTCAGCCTAACCTACCTCACAGGGCTGTTGCTGAGATTAATTGAGGTGGGGGGGTGAACCGTGTATGCCACCTTGAGCTCCCTGGAGGGAAAGCTGGGATAGAAATGCAATAAATAAAACAAGAAATAAATAAACTGCACTTGATGCAGTCATAACATTTGGGGGTTGGGAAGTCTAACAAGATTTCCAGTTGGCAAAGGCTCCGTTCAGAGCTGATGGCACCAGACTCCGTCCTCAGAGGCACTGGCTGTGGAGGGGGTCCCCAGCTGCATCTTTCTCCTCTGGTGCAAGAGGGGGCTCCCTGCTCCTGCTGCCTATGGACAGGAAGAGTGGGTTGGGGGGGGTCCCCTGCCTTCAGCCCCACAGCTCCTCGCAAGAAGAGGTCTGCCCCTCAGTGCCAGGCACTGCTGGGCTCAGAGGCCGGACGGAGCTCAAGAGATGCTCTCTTGCTTCATGGCTTAAGGCCTGTCCCTGGCAAGGAGCAGAAGGCTGCCTGCGCTCCTGGAAGGTGGGGAGAATATTAGGGTCCCCTGACTCCTTTGCCCCTCCTTTGCCACTCTTGTGCTGCCCTTTCACAGGCCTTTGCTTGCACCGATAATGGTATTCATTTCTTAGGAGGTGGGGAATGCAGAGGAGGGACCCAACCAGGGCATCCAGTCCATCCCATCAGCGCTCTGCCCTCTAACATTGTCCCACCCAGTGGCACATGGAATTACAGTGGTGCCTCGCAAGACGAAATTAATCCGTTCCGCGAGAGTCTTCGTCTAGCGGTTTTTTCGTCTTGCGAAGCAAGCCCATTGACGGATTAGCGCTATTAGCGCTATTAGCGGTTTAGCGGCTATTAAAGGCTTAAAGGCTTAGGGGATTAGCTGCTAAAAGGCTATTAAAGGCTATTAAAGGCTTAGCAGATTAGATAAAGGGGGGGAAAAGCGAAAAAAAAAATCTCTAGACTCGCAAGGTATTTTCGTCTTGCGAAGCAAGCCCATAGGGGAATTCGTCCTGCGAAGCAACTCAAAAACGGAAAACCCTTTCGTCTAGCGGGTTTTCCGTCTTGCAAGGCATTCGTCTTGCGGGGCACCACTGTATTGTGTGGGTGGGGGGGGTGCATCACATGATTCACCTTGGCACATGTTTCCTGCTGTGTAAAGAAAGACAGGCACGCATGCCGTGATTGCATTGAAATTCACTTGGGAAGAGATTTATAAATGAAACAGCACATCCATGGCAGGCTCCCAACCCCAGCTTCTCAGTGCCCACAGGTAACCCACCCCCCCAAGACCTGCCCCGCCGCCAGCTCATGGCAACTCACACTGGGCATCCTGTTGGCAGCGCAGGCTCCCTCCGCCTGCAGCTGCCCTCTAATCTCCCAGGCAAAGAGGGACGGCTGTTCCCACTTCAGCTGGGCAATCCGGGCCACAACCTCCGGCGTGGATGTCTGAGGGCGGCTCCCTCCCACGCCCTTTGGCTGGACGGCCCCCGTCTGGTAGTAGCGGGTGAGGATCTTGCTGACACAACCATTGGAAACCTGTGGTGTAAAAACAGGGGAACGAGGAGCAATGAAGGGTTGCAGGAAGAGAGTGAGAGTTGGGGGGCTTATGGGGGTTGGCTGCCCCCCCTCCAGCTGCTTCAGATTGTCCCCAGCCCCTCAATCCCACCCCTCCTACTTATCAACCGTCCCCTTTGTTGTTGGTTTCGATGCCCCAGTCCCTTGGGGTCTTATTAGCATGGGTTAAGGTAAAGGTAAAGGGACCCCTGACCATTAGGTCCAGCCGTGGCCAACTCTGGGGTTGCGGCGCTCATCTTCCTTTATTGGCCGAGGGAGCCGGCATACAGCTTCCGGGTCATGTGGCCAGCATGACTAAGCCGCTTCTGGCGAACCAGAGCAGTGCACGGAAACGCCGTTTACCTTCCCGCCGGAGCGGTACCTATTTATCTCCTTGCACTTTGATGTGCTTTCGAACAGCTAGGTTGGCAGAAGTTAGCATGGGTTAGAATCTAGCTAAGGAGGTTGCTGAAGTGGTCTGACAAGTTTCTTTGCAAGACAGTGACCTCACCTGGCCTCTTAAGTGCCTCATCAGCATCCCAAAACAATGAGTTCAGCAAGAGCTACAATTAAGTGAGGGAGCCCTACAGGTCAATGGGCGGGCCTTTCCTCCACCCCCTCACTTAGTTGGGGGCACAGATGGCTGTATGTCCCTGATGGTTCTGCAGGATGTCTTGGCAGCTTTCGATACCATCAACCGTGGCATCTTTCTGGGCTGCCTTGCTGGGATGGGCCTCACCTAGTTAATAGGTAGAGCAGCGGTTCTCAACCTGTGGATCCCCAGATGTTGTTGGACTACAACTCCAGCTCAGGGATGATGGGAGTTGTAGTCCAACAACATCTGGGGACCCACAGGTTGAGAACCGCTGAGGTAGAGGAACAAGAGCCAGAGTAGTGCAAGAGAGAGCTGAGTTGGGAGCAGGCTGGAGGCTGGAGACACAGAGACGTGTTTGCTCTGCGCTGGATCGAAAGCTGAATAATGGAGAAGCAAGATCTGCTGGGAGTGTTAATGCCGTGGGCCCTTCCATCCTATGTTCAGGGTGTATATCTGTGTAAATAAAACCAGATATCCTAAAGACACCACCGCAAACCTTCGTTCCAAGGAAACAGAACCTGGTTGCAAGTGCTTGGAAACCCTGGAGCCTCTCACTGCTCAGATATTGGGGGTGGTGTGTAACAAAGAAAATATCAAATAATCTGGATGAAGGCTATGACTTGGCCTTTGCTGCCCTTCTGCCGGGAGAGCTAAAGGCCCCGCTCCCACTGGCTTCCCACCCTCCATCTAATTTTTACCTTCAAGTGTCGGGAGATGTCTGAAGCACGCAGCCCACACGAAGCCAGCTCAACAATTCTCTTCCTCTTGAAGTTGGGCAGGGGGCAGCCATTCACGAAGGGCCCCCCCAGCTGGTTCACACCACTGGTCCCTGCAAACAGCCCAGAGAGATGGCTTACACCCCTGGCTGTCCCCCGGAGAGCAGGCAAGGAAGGGGGGGGTGTCTTCTGGGGCCGTGTGGAGTCGGGTGCTCAGCTGCATGTGGTCTTAGTCATGGTGTTGTTATATGGGAGAACGGGAATGTAGGAAAGCATTTGAAAATAATGTTAGCACGTTTAATTTTAAGAACATGTGGAGAGCCAGCAGGATCAGGGCATTGGGCCATTTAGTCCCGCCTCCTGTTCTCAACAGATGCCTCTGTGAAACCAGCAGGCAGGATCCGAGCGCAAGAGCAACTCTCCCCTCCTCTGGTTTCCAGCAACTGGGATTGAGAAGCATTGCAGCCTCCAGCTGTGGAAGGCAGAGCACAGGCATCTTGGCCATTGACAACCCCTGGAATTTGTCCGATCCTTTTTTAAAGCCATCCAAGTTGGTGGCCATCACTGTGGGAGGGAGTTCCATGGGTTAACTCTGTGCTGAATGAAGAAGGACTTCCTTTCCTCTCTCCCGAACCTTCAAACATTCAACTTCATTGGATGCCCAGGGGTTTTAGCGCTATGAGGGAGGGAGAAAATTTGAAGATGTTAAGGTTATGTCACCTGCAAATCTGACGGGGATTCCCTCTGTTCTGTCACCTGAGTCAGGGGTGGGGAGCTGGAGCCAGCCAGTGCTGGGTTGGGGTTAGGATCCTTAACTCCCCACCCTTTGCAGGTCAACTCTGAATCAGTTTGGACGAAGGTGTTATTATGACTTGCTAGATCAAGAAACACTCTGCGGGCAGTGGAGAGAAGGCTCGATTTAGATATTTCAGTTCACAACCTGACAGGTCAGGCTCTCAGATCACTGGGCAGAAATGCCAAGGCTTCTCTATGGCACACCAGGTGCCTAAACAGAGATCCCCAGCTGGTCAGGGAGGCTCCCTTTACCTTGGTGTTGCATTGCAGGACAACCCCGGCAGGATAGCTTCAGGGATTCTACAAGAGAAAAGCATTTATTTAGTTACTGTCATTTTATTCCATTTTCCCCAGAAGTCTCTCAAAGTGGCACCCAGCTTGGGCGGGGATGGCTTTCCTTTACTTCCGTTCTTGCTTGAGAAGCAATTGGTGGTTTTTGTTCCTTTGCCAAGAGGAGGGTTCCTGAGGACACAGACTCACTTTCCCAGGTAGGTGGGGGGGGTGTGTGTCTCCTTCCCTGCTTCTTTGAAGCTGCCTCCTTCATTGATCTTATTCCGGGAGGAGCCTTTGGAATGCCCTGAAACTGGGGGGTGGGGGGGAAGCAGTTGCTAAGAAAGGATTCTGCATGGGGGGGGAGCATCTCCTTGGGGACCTATTTCTCACTGCTCTCTTTCTTCCAAGAGGGAGGCTTCGATGTGATCTGAGAGGTGACATAATAGCCACTTTCAGACATCGGAAGCGCTTTCCCACGGAAGGTGGAGCAAGCTGGTTTTCTGCTGCTCTGGAGGGCAGGACCCAGAACTGATGGATTCACATGACAAAGGAAGGCGATTCTGACTAAACATTAGGAACAACTTCCTGGTGATGGGAGCCATTCCACAGTGGAACTGACTCCCTCGGAAGGCGGTGGACTCGCTTGCGTTGGAAGTTTTTCAACAAGGGCGGGATGGCCATCCGTTAGGGACGCTATAGCTATGACTCCTGTATTGCAAAGGGCAGGACTAGATGTCCTTTGGGAGTACCTTCCAATCCCACAATTCCAATTCTACAACTTCTGCTCAGAGAAGCACTTCCCTTGGGACAGCGAAAGTGGAGAGGGCCTTCCTATCTGGAGTGCTTGGGGGGGAGCTCTTGTTGAACCCCAAAAGCGAGATGCCGGCGGGGAGGCAGCTGATTCTTCGCTCCCCACCCACCTCCACCCGCTGCAGCCTCCTGGCCGCGTCCCGTCGGGGCTGGGGTAGTGGCGGCCGGCGGCCGCAGCGTTTCAGCACCATCGCGGCGCGGACAGCGGCCCCAGGTCCGCCCGCGGCGGCTTCCTTCGCTTCTCCTCTCCGGCGCCAGCAGCTGCTTCGGACGGGGCGGGAGCGGCCGCAGGAGTCGGGGCAGCGCCACCCCCCGCGGGAGGCGCCCCTTCTCCGCTTGCCTCCCCGGGGCCCGGGGCCACCCGCCAGCTTCCAGCCACAGCCGGCAGCATCCCCTTCGCTTTTACCTGGACTGCGGCTCCTACGCTCGCCGGGAGCTGCTCCTTCCTTTGAGGCGGCGCGACTTCCCCACGAACCCCAGACCCGGACGCGCCGCTGCGGATTTGCCCCTCGACGGCCGACACTCTGGCTGCTCTTTAGCCAGCGGGGCCAGGCCGACCTCCTTCGCCAGCCGGTCTCTTTCCCCGGCTGCAGGATGCAAAAAGAGGCCAGCTCGGCCTCGCCAGGGGAGGGGAAGGGGCGCCCTGCCCCCACCGACGCCTCCCGAGCTGGCCCAGATGGCCCGGGACTTGCCTGGCGGAGCTGAGCCCTGCCAAGCTGCCCAGGACAATATTTGATGAGCAAATAGTGGGGGCAGGCAGTTCTCCCCCGGCCTGGGCACCCAGCAATTGACCCTCATTAGCCCCCCCTCTCCATGCCGCCGCCTCCCCTCCCTCCCTCCCGGGCTCTCCACCGAGCAGGCTGCCTCGGAGGCGACCATCTGGTCCCCATTACACATTAACCACGGCGCCCTCCCGCTTCGCCAGCCCCGTCGGAAGGGAGGGAGGCACAGGGCTGGCCGGGTTCCCTGTGGGCCCTGCACCCCGCAGGGGGGAGGGGAGGCTCGTGGGGAGCCTGGGGGCGACCACGCTGTAGCCCGGATCCCCCCTTGCCCCTGTCACCAAAAGGGAGCCGGAGCGGACGCGCCAAGGAGCAGGGCGGCGTGCGTAATGGCACCGAAGGTGGTCGGCGAGAGCCCTGCGAGCTGGTGTCGTCCTCGACATCGAAAGGGCCCGGGGACAAGGCCTAGAAAGCTCCCCCCTACCCGCCCCCTCCAACTCGGAGAGCCAAGCCAGCAACTGGGCCGAGTCGGCTCCTGCTCCGCGGTTCTGCAAGGCGGGGGCCTCCGGGGCGCACGGCGGCAAGAGGCGCCTCATAGCAGGAACAGGCGCTTCTTCCACAGCCCCGACTTGGGAGAGCCTTCTGGAGTGGCGCAGGGGTGGGGGGCTCGGGAAAAAGGTGTAAGCGTGACCCCCTTCTCAGAGCCTGGATGGAAGGAGCTGCTGGACGCCATGCGGAGGGGTCTAGCCCTGGCCCGACGGGCGTCCCGGGAAGTGGCGCCCGAAGAGGCGACTCTGTGCCTGGCGCGCTCCGCGCAGAACTTCACCAAGGGCGGCGGAGAGGAGCCAAGGCGAGAGGCTAGGGACACAGGAAGCTGTCTTGCACCGAGTCAGACCATTGGGGCCATGTAGCTCCGTACTGTGTGCACTGACTGGCAGCGGGTCTCTCCTAGCTTAAACTGGAGCTACCTTTGGGCATTGAAACTCGGGGTCCCCTGTCTGCAGAGCTGGTGCTTTGCCGCTGAGATGCGGCCCATCCCCAGCCGCGGAATCTCGACTGGAAGGCGTGGAAATGGGGGTACGGAGACGGGCCAGGAGAGAGAGACCGGCTGCCCAACCACCCCAGCCAAACCCTCGGGCACCCGCGGCTCCAGCTCGCCTTGGTGGCCGCGCGCGTTCCTTTCTCACCAAACTCAAGCGCATTTCACTGCTTTCTTTCACAATGCAAAACGCACAGCTTATCCCTTAGCTAGAATACAGAATTAGAGAGTTTGTCATACAGGCGACGTTTAAAACTACAAACGTTTTGCGCAAGCCAGCTTTTTACTCTCCAGGCTACCCCGCTCCCTCTTGTGGGTTTGGTCCAAAACTTAATTCCTAGGCAGACCAGATTTTATTTGCGGTGATGTGGCACCTACAACAGATCTATGGATTCCTCTGCCTCGCACTGTACTGACCTCCCCTCCTGCAAGGCAGATCAAGACGCGCTTCCCGGGCTCCAATCCGAACTGGGTCCCAAGTTGCCCAAGCAACTTGTGGACCACGCGGCTGCAACGCCCAGGGCGCAATCCCAGGCCGGCTGCGGTTCTCTCAGGGGCTCCGGCTGCATGCATTTAAGGCACGTGACTTCCCCAGAAGAACCCTGGGAATTGTAGTTCGTTAAGGGTGCTGGGGATTATAGCTGTGTGAGGGTAAACTGCAGTTCCTAGAATTCTTTGTGTGTGCGGGGGGGGGGGGGGAATAATGTGTTTTTAGATGCGTGGTGTGTACACAGTTTCAGGCAAGCAGCTCGTCAGGAAGCAGCCCCAGGTGAGCAGGGGGTCAGGCAGAAGACATTGCTCCTGCAGCTCTCAGAGGCATGGAGGCCCCAAAGCCAAAGGGGGGGCTCCCCAAACCCCACCCTGGGCCAGTTTCAGCCTCTGGGAGATTTCTGCAGGCAGTCCTCCTCTTCTGCCCTGGAGCACTCTTGCCTGGGAGGATCTCAGCCAGCCTCTTGCAGAGCCAGCATGGTGTAGTGGTTAAAAGCAATGGACTTGTAATCTGGTGAACTGGGTTCGTGTCTCCGCTGCTCCACATGCAGCTGCTGGGTGACCTTGGGCCAGTCACACTTCTCTGAAGTCTCTCAGCTCCCCTCACCTCACAGAGGGTTTGTTGTGGGGGAGGAAGGGAAAGGAGAATGTTAGCCGCTTTGAGACTCCTTCCGGTAGTGATAAAGCGGGATATCAAATCCAAACTCCTCCTCCTCCTCCTCCTCCTCCTCTTGTGGCATCGTTGCTCCTGGGGGCTGTTCTGCCTCTGCGTCTGATGCCCAGCTCACTTTCTGTTGGGGGGGAGAGCACTGCCAGTCCCTCCCAAGGCTGCTCCCTTCTTCTCAGCTGTTGTTCTAGGGCAGGCATAGGCAACCTCGGCCCTCCAGATGTTTGGAGACTACAATTCCCATCCTCCCTGACAGCTGGTCCTGTTAGCTAGGGATCATGGGAGTTGTAGTCCCAAAACATCTGGAGGACTGAGGTTGCCTATGCCTGTTCTAGGGGTTGTTCCTGAGTGGCTGGAGGCCACTGAGACAGATCCTGCACCACCACCTTCTCCTTGGAGGCAGGACACCCGGCCAGCGCCAGTTCTACACATTTTGCCATAGGAGGAAAAAGTCTCCACTGCTGCCACCACCGAGAGAACAAAGTCTGCATGGGGTGGGGAATAAAGTCTTTCTCCCTTTCATGTCCCAAACAGGCTTCCTTCCCTTGGTGGCAGCACTGAGACCACCCCAAAGGGAAGATAGAGGGTCTCCCCTTTGTTCCTCTTCTGCTGCCACCAAGAGAAGGAAGCCTGAGGGTTCCCATCCCATCCAGCCCATAGCAGGGTTCGGGTCTGAGGGTCACAGTTGTTTGAGTGGAGAAGTGGCAAGGTTGGCCACTCGGGAGGGAGCAGGTCTAATGGACAGCAGCATCACCGTTGCTTCCAGTGTCCAAAGGGCGCCAGAAGGCGGGAAGCAGCAATTCAGAAGCAGCAAAGGCTCTGCCCGCTCCTCTTCCTGCATCTTGGATCTCTGCATTGTGTATTTTATATATTTGAATCTGCCACCCGCCCTTCCCCACAGGGTCCCAGGGCAAAGCCCACCCAATGAAAAATTATTTTTTTTTAAAAAAAATGATATTTATTAAAGTTTCAAAAGAAGGATACATAAATAAGAAAAATAAAAATAGAAAAAATAAAAATACAAAATACAAAAAACAGAAAACAATTAAAAACAATTCCATCTTTTCATCACTTCTCTTTCATTTGCTTGTTTCCCGGACCTCCTCATACCTCCCTTTTTTGTATTCCAGTTCAATTTATTAGTTCAGCAATTCCTTTCCCTCCTTTTTAAACCTGATCTTTAATCTTAATATATTATAGCATTAGGTTTTTACATATTGAAAATCTAATTTTTCCATATTCTTTTATACCATTACAGCTAGAAACCACTTAACTTCAATCCAACATCATTCTAACATTCATTAATTTTGCAATATTTCTGTAAATAGTCTTTAAATTTCTTCCAATCTTCTTCCACCGACTCTTCTCCCTGGTCTTGGATTCTGCCAGTCATTTCCGCCAATTCCATGTAGTCCATCATTTTCATCTGCCATTCCTCCAGTGTGGGTAGGTCTTGTGTCTTCCAATGCTTTGCAATAAGTATTCTTGCTGCTGTTGTACACCCAATGAAAAATTAAAGCATCATCAAAGCATCAATTAAAACAGCAGAGGAAGTCCTATGGTGCAGTTGTGCTCCTGATCAGATGCAGGAGAGAGGATCTGATCTGAAATGACGCACCAGCTCCCAGAGGCACCTGAGATGGGGGCACAGGCACCTCCAAGGAGAGGGAGCTGCAGAACTGTGTGTGTTTGTGGTGGGGAGACCACAGAGGAAGTCCTCCCAGGTGCCCCTGCTCCTTGGACCAACCACTCCCTGCCCCACTCCCTGATCTTAATATTTGGGCAGGTCTGTGTGGGCTGAGGTGAATCCATCATTCTCTAATGTTTTATATGGTCTTACAGTTTAAGGAAACTCTTCAAAAGCACTTGACTCCTTCCAAAATAAGAATAGTCCATAGGGTTCCCCCCCAGCTTTCCTCAAAATTTCTGTTGGGTCCCCCCCCCTTTTAAGGCCTTTGCCGTGAAACATTTCCCCATTGACCTGCCTTCCCGCAGGGCTTTCATCTCTCTAAGCAGGACCTGAGCACAACAGCAGCCTCCCCACTTGCGATACTCAGCATCTGAGATTCAGAAGCATGGCTGACTCCGACTGTGGAGGGTAGAGCAGAGCTAGGAGCCCTCCATAGCCCTCTCCTCCTCCATGAATTGGTCCAATCCTCTTCTAAAGCCATCCAAGTGGGTAACCATTCCTGCTTCCTTGGGGAAGCGAGTTCTACAATTTAACTCTGCGTTGCCTGAAGAAAGACTTTCATTTATAGGTCCTGAATCACAGAAGAGGCAGTCTACAACAGAAATCTGAGTGCATTGTTTATCTTCTGTCTGGTAGGTTACCTGTTAACGGTCACTTGATTGATACCCTGGGGAGCCTGGCCAGTCTTTTGTAATGACAAATACTTAGTTCCTGAGTCAGGTCACAGGCTCACCCTATTCATACACAGACATACCCTTAAGACAGGATTTGTGAAGGAAAAGACAATGGGGAGCCAGTGTGGTGTAGTGGTTAAAAGCGGTAGTCTCGTAATCTGGGGAACCGGGTTCGCGTCTCCGCTCCTCCACATGCAGCTGCTGGGTGACCTTGGGCCAGTCACACTTCTCTGAAGTCTCTCGGCCTCACTCACCTCACAGAGTGTTTGTTGTGGGGGAGGAAGGGAAAGGAGAATGTTAGCCGCTTTGAGACTCCTGAAAGGGAGTGAAAGGCGGGATATCAAATCCAAACTCCTCCTCCTCTGCGACCTTGCAGAGAAATATTTGAGGTGAATTTGGGAGGGACAAAATGGTTTCAGGACTTTTTCTGTGGGGTTTCAGACATGTGGTTTATATATTCAGTTATGAACATTTATTATATATATATATTATATATATATATATATATATATATATATATATATATATATATATTCATATATACATATGTATATATACATATATATATATATGACATTAACTTTTAATTTCACTTCCAAGCTTTCACTTTCTACAAGTGCCTGGGGACCCTCTGTCTGCAGAGAAGGAAACACAAGTGGCTTGGGGTTGCCACCTCTGTGATGACCTTGGCTCTGAGAAGAAGCTCCTCCACAACTGACCACCACTCTCTGCCTCAGCCAAGGGCTCTGCTGTGCCATCCCTGCCCTTCCTGAGTCCTGGGAACTCTTCCTCTGATAACGAGAATCTCATGATCTTGAATAAGTGAACCTTGTCATCATCAGCGGCCATAGATGGTACTGTTCTTTTGTTCTATTGCCCATCATTAATGTTGGTGGTTTGCGTCAGCATATCACAGGTCCCCCCTTTGTTTGTGTATTTATTTGTGTATTTATTTATTTTTATCGATAATGCGGCAGGGTAGGGGTTCTCAAGCTTGGTTGCTTGTGTTTCGTTGATTGCGGTGTGGCTTATTTGTGTGAGGGAGGTGGGCTAGGCTGTTGGGTCAGGTGAGCCATATTGATTCATATGCTCTTAGAAGGGGGAGGCCATTGACCTGTTGTGTCGCGTACGTGATGAAGGGGAATCACACTGGGGCAAAGGTGTCCTCTGTAGCTTGTCCCTGTGCTAGTTTGAGTTTTTTGGTTAACATTTCTAGTACAGCAGTTTACCATACAATTTGGTAACAGTGGCCACAGTTGGTTAAGTAGTAGTAGTAGTAGTAATAAAAATAATAACAATAATTATATTTTTTTATTTGTACCCCGCCCATCTGGCTGGGTTTCCCCAGCCACTCTGGGCTGCTCCCAACAGAATATTAAAAAGGTAAAGGTACCCCTGCCCGTACGGGCCAGTCTTGCCAGACTCTGGGGTTGTGCGCTCATCTCACTCTATAGGCCGGGAGCCAGCGCTGTCCGCAGACACTTCTGGGTCACGTGGCCAGCGTGACAAGCTGCATCTGGCGAGCCAGCGCAGCACACGGAATGCTGTTTACCTTCCCGCTGGTAAGCGGCCCCTATTTATCTACTTGCACCCGGGGGTGCTTTCGAACTGCTAGGTTGGCAGGCGCTGGGACCGAACGACGGGAGCTCACCCCGTTGTGGGGATTTGAACTGCCGACCATACGATCGGCAAGTCCTAGGCGTGGAGGTTTTACCCACAGCGCCACCCGCGTCCCAACAGAATATTAAAAACATGATAAAACTTCAAACATTAAAAACTTCCCTAAACAGGGTTGTCTTCATATATCTTATAAAAGTCAGATAGCTGTTTATTTCCTTGACATCTGATGAGGGCGTGTTCCACAGGACAGGCGCCACCACCGAGAAGGCCCTCTGCCTGGTTCCCTGTAACCTCACTTCTCACAGGGAGGGAACCGCCAGAAGGCCCTTGGAGCTGGACCTCACTGTCCGGACAGAGTGATGGGGGTGAAGACGCTCCTTCAGGGATACTGGATAAAGGATATCAACAATCTGGAATGTGGCCAGAGAAGGTTGGCAGAGATGGAGAGAGCTTTCGAGACTGCATCCTATGAGGGAGTTGGGCATGTTCAGCCTGGAGAAGAGAAAATCAAGTGGCAACACGATAACCATCTTCAAATATTTGAACAGCTGTTGCATAGATGATGGAGCGAATGTATTCTCTGTTGTGCTTCGGGGGGAGGACTTGAACCAAGGGCTTCAAATGACAGGAAAAGGTATTCTCAACTCAACATTTGGAGGAACTTCCTGTCGGAATGAGATGTTCGCAGAGGAACAGCTTGGAAGGTGCTGGTGGCCTTTGAACAGAGCCGGAGTGACCACCAAAAAGCCACGCTCATTGTTCCAGCGCCGGGTTTTCTGCATTGGTGCAGGTTGGACTAGATGGCCTTTGGGGGGCCTCCCAATTGAACAGAACTCTGATGAGTGTTTCCCAAGGCCTATCTAGCAGAGGAGTCATTACAACCAGAGCCCAGCCCTTCCCCTACAGCCCATCTCCAGAACCCCAGGGCTGGCTTCTCTCCGAAGCAAGTGGCGACTGAGGGGAGATGGTGATCGTGATGATTCATTTCATTTCTTATTATTTTTAAGAAAAAAAGAATCTCAAATCTTTTTACAACACATTAAAACATCAAATAAAACAACCCAGCACTGAACATTGCTGAACAAAGTCAATATAAAGTATCCATTCAAAGCAGCATTATTAACAGAAAACTAAAATATTATCTTAAACATGACTAAAGGAAGTCAATTATAAAATGCACATTTAAAACAGCATAATGAGCAAGAGACTAAAAACGTTATCTCAAGCATGGAAAGTATCTGCTGCTGTCGCTGCCAGTCTTGCCAAGCGTGGTTCGTGGTGGGCGGCTGGAGTCTCAGGCTCTGTGACCTGGCTGTGCACTAAAAGACAGGCAAGATGGTCTCTGGCCTCTTTCGCAGCCTAAACTTCTGTAGCTGGAGTCAGTCCAAGCTCCACCCTCCCAGGCCAGGTGGGGAAAGGACTGCAGGGCAGGGAACGGGTTTTCCAGGGCTCACAGCCTGGACGGTCGCTGACATGTCGCCTTCCAGCTTGAGTTCAGGGCGGCAGCTACCATCAAAACAGCAGTGTTCTGCCTTACTTCGATAATAATAATAATAATAATAATAATAATAATAATAATAATAAATAAAATTTTATTTATATCCTGCCCTCCCCAGCTGAAGCCGGGCTCAGAGCGGCTAACAACAGTAAAAATAACACAGTCTACATAAAATTAATTGAAATACATTCTAAAATCAATTCATTCTAAAATCAGTTCAAAATCAAATTAATGGCAAATTAATAAGGCTTTGGAGAACGGGATCTCTTTCTTCAAGAATGGAGGGCATCTTGTCCTCAGTAAGCAGGAGCTGTTGGTTCTCAACACAAGCCGTGCATTCAGCCAGAATGGGGATTCCCAACATTTTTGGACCCAGGATAACATTTGGAAATCTGAGCCACTGCCACGCTTGCCGAGAGAGAGAAAGCTCTTTGCATCTCTCCATCAGGGTAAGGTTACCAGATTTCCCCCCCAGTGAATCCGGGGACACTTTTCAACTTCAATGGGTTTTGTATGGGGACTGATTTGTAAATCTGGGAACTGTCCCCGGGAAACAGGGGCGCCTGGTAACCTTACATCAGAGAGACAAGCTGGGTGTCTGGTCCCGGCATCCAAGGAAATGAGGCCATATTTTAAAAGCAGAGACATCACCTTGCTAGCAAAGGTCCGTATAGTTGAAGCTCTGGTTTTCCCAGTAGTGATGTATGGAAGTGAGAGCTGGACCATAAAGAAGGCTGATCGCTGAAGAATTGATGCTTTTGAATTATGGTGCTGGAGGAGACCCTTGAGAGTCCCATGGACTGCAAGAAGATCAAACCTCTCCATTCTGAAGGAAATCAGCCCTGAGTGCTCACTGGAGGGACAGATCCTGAAGCTGAGGCTCCAAGACTTTGGCCACCTCAGGAGAAGAGAAGACTCCCTGGAAAAGACCCTGATGTTGGGAAAGATGGAGAGCACAAGGAGAAGGGGAGGACAGAGGACAAGATGGTGGGACAGTGTTCTCGAAGCTACCAGCATGAGTTTGACCAGACTGCGGGAGGCAGTGGAAGACAGGAGGGCCTGGTGTTCTCTGGTCCAGGGGGTCACGAAGAGGGGGACACCGCTAAACGACGAAACAACAACAACAAAATTCAGTGTAGGTCAGGCTAAGTGAGTGGAAATAGGAACTGAGCAGGGAAAGCAAACTATCTTTCATGCTTTGTGGAGTTTTGAGGAGACATTTACTGAGGCCTGTTCTGGGCACCATAGGGGGGGGTCCTGTTGGGTGCAGTGGCACTCGTGGGTGCCGTGCTGGTGACTCTGGGAGCTGTGTTGATGACCTTTCCTTTTCCTGCGGCACTGGATTCTGCCAGACATGAGTGGAGTAGGGCTTTTCTGAGCAAACATGCACCGCCAGAGGACTGAGCAGTAGATCTGAAAATCAGGATAGTGAGATGGAGCTTTCACCTTCAGCAGCAGCGTATATCCAACCAGGGAGGGCTCTCTGCTTTAAAATGGCATCTGCATCTCTTCAGCCAGTGCTGGCAGCCAAGCATTGCATCAGATGGACCTTTCAGCCATCTCAACACTTAGGTTCTAGTTACAGGTAGGTAGCCGTGTTGGTTTGCTGTATTCGAAACAAAATTAAAAAATTCCTTCCAGTAGCACCTTAAAGGTAAAGGTGAAGGGACCCCTGACCGTTAGGTCCAGTTGTGGCCGACTTTGGGGTTGTGGCGCTCATCTCACTTTACTGGCCAAGGGAGCCGGCGTACAGCTTCCGGGTCATGTGGCCAGGAGGACTAAGCCGCTTCTGGCAAACCAGAGCAGGGCACGGAAACGCCATTCACCTTTCTGCCAGAGCGGTACCTATTTATCTACTTGCACTTTGACGTGCTTTCGAACTGCTAGGTTGGCAGGAGCAGGGACCAAACAACAGGAGCTCACCCCGTCACGGGGATTCGAACCGCCGACCTTCTGATCGGCAGGTCCTAGGCTCTGTGGTTTAACCCACAGCGCCACCCACATAAGTAGCAGCTTAGAGACCAACTAAGTTTGTTATTGGTATGAGCTTTTGTGTGCATGCAGACTATGTGTGTATCTGGAGAAGTGTGCATGCACACGAAAGCTCATACCAATAACACACTCAGTTGGTCCCTAAGGTGCTACTGGAAGGAATTTTTTTATTTTGTTTCAACACTTTGGGAGGGAGACTTAATATAAAGCTTACATTAACCTCCCAACTCCTCTCTCCTTTTGTTAAAGAAGCAACCTTAATCTGCTCTCACCACCTAGAAGAGGAAATAGGAAGATCCCTTTCCTCTGAGCTCTTTCCAGGGGCTGCTCCACTCTCAGCACCCACTGGGATTTCCACACTGCAGGGGAATGAATGATCAGTGCCTTGGGCTGGTCTTCCCATTAGGGACGTGGGAGACTTTTGGCTCTGAGACCAGCTGGGGCACTTCAGAGGCCCAAACGTCCCATCTCCCCAAATCTCTCTCTGGACCACTGGAAACTGATGCCCTTATCTTCTCCATCTGCCCCTCTAGCTCACCAGCCCTGGTCCCCCCTGCCTGGGATTCTGGGGAGCCTAAGTCCAAGACCCCCTGGCCACCGAGAAGCCCCTGGCAGGGCACCAAGAACTCAGTGCCTCCCTTGCTGAGGGTGGGCAGCTGAGGTTTCGTTGCTGCCAGCAAATTAATGGGCTCAACCCTGTCCTCTTGATGTTCATGCATTTCCACCCTCTGTTCTGCAGCATATACAGTATTTTGTAGCAGCAAAAAAAGCTAATGCTATTCTAGGCTGCATCAGCAGAAGTCTAGTGTCCAGATCAAGGGAAATCATAGTACCGCTCTATTCTGTATCGGTCAGACCACACGTGGGATACTGTGTCCAGTTCAGGGCACTACAATTTAAGAAGGATGCTGAGAAGCTGGAACATGCGCAGAGGAGGGCAACCAAGATGGTCAAGGGTCTGGAAACCAAGCCTGATAATGGTAAGGATTTGCTGAACTAACAAACTGAACTGGAATACAAAGAAGGGAGGTATGAGGAGGTTCGGGGAAATAAGTGTAAGGAAGATAGGCTATGGAAAATTAATGTGTTTTTAACTGTTTTATTTTGTATGTTTCTCTTTATTTATTTTTTTTACTTTTTTGTTGTATCCTAAAAACTTTATACCTTTTTCTTTATTCTGTATTTTCATGTATTTTTTGAAACTTTAATAAATATTATTAAAAAAAAAAAAAAGGAAACCAAGCCTGATGAGGAATGGTTGAAGGAGCTGGGGATGTTTAGGCTGGAGAAGAGACTGAGAGGAAATATGAGAGCCATCTTCAAGGGCTGTCACATGGAAGAGGGAACAAGCTTTTCTCCTGCTTTGGAGGGTAGGACTCGAACCCATGGCTTCAAGTTACAAGAAAGGAATTCTGACCAAACATCAGGACACCAAGAAATGTTTGATGATGGAAAGGTGGGGAGATTATGGACTCTCCTTCCTTGGAGGTTTTAAAGCAGAGGTTGGATGGCCGTCTGTCAAGGATGCTTTAACTGAGATTCCTGCATTGCAGGGGGTTGGACTAGATGACCCTTGGGGTCCCATCCAACACTACAATTCCATGATTCTATGGTTTTAATATCCCCCCACTGCGATTATTGGAAACTCAACTTGTTCACAGTAAAACAGTGCAAAATACAGGTGTTGGAACCGATGGACTTTCTCATATTCCAGGTTCACCTGATACTAAGTGCATTTTGGCACTAGAGGTGGACCCCAAAATGGTGTTCTTCTCCCTGGCAGGGAAGAAGTGGTGATGGAAGATTTACATAAGGAACAAGGGCGGGGGAAAGATCAATGTCGGGATCTGCTGCCCTGGGGGATCCTGCTGGCTGAGACAGTCACCTCAGGCTTCCTGGCTGGGTTTGGCTATCGGTAGCAAAAGGGGGCTGGGCCCACAGGCAGAAGCCAGAGAGACGTCTGACCCTCTCCCCTTCACCCCCAGGAAGAAGGGCTGAATGTAGCAGGGGCTCCTTGGGGGTGGCCCCGAAAGAAACCCTGCTCAGCCAGTAGGGGGCGCAGACGAGCACCCCAGCTCAGCCCCCCCCCGCCTCTCCGATTCCGTCCGAAACGGGCACAGAGGACCGGAGCTGCCAGTCTCCAAGGGGGTGCCTGTGTAGCAGCAGCAGCCCAGCCCCATCCTGGATCTTAGAGTCTTCAGGCAGGTGCACCAGATGCCCAGGGAATTGCTGCCAGCCTGGCTGGGGGGCTCTGAGCACCGCCAATTGCTTTCGGGGGAGGAAGGGACCAGCGGCGGGGAGCCACAGGGATGGAAGGAGCAGGTCTCCTGTGTGTCCAGGGTCCGGCCTCCCTCACAAAATGCCCCCTAGATCACCTCCTGAGCGAGTCACCTGAGAAGGTCCTGCCTCCTGGTGAGGGGCTGGACTAGATGACCATTGGGGTCCCTTACATCTCAGCATTTCAGTCCCTGTCAGAGAGGAATGGCAAACCAAGCTGTTGAGCCTATGCCAGGCATAGGCAAACCCAGCCCTCCAGATGTTTTGGGACTATAACTCTCATCATCCCTAGCTAACAGGACCAGTGGTCAGGGATGATGGGAGCTGTAGTCCCAAAACATCTGGAGGGCCGAGTTTGCCTATGCCTGGACTATGCTGAAATGGGAAAACTGATGGGAAAACTCAGGAACCAAGAAGACAAAAACTTCCAGAAAGACTCTGAAGGCAGCTCTGTTAGGGAAGTTTTTAATGACTGATGTTTTGTTGTTGTTGTTTAGTTGTTTAGTCGTTTAGTTGTGTCTGCCTCTTCGTAACCCCATGGACTAGAGCACGCCAGGCACTTCTGTCTTCCACTGTCTCCCGCAGTTTGGTCAGACTCATGTTTGTAGCTTCGAGAACACTGTCCAACCATCTCGTCCTCTGTCGTCCCCTTCTCCTTGTGCCCTCCAACTTTCCCAACATCAGGGTCTTTTCCAGGGAGTCTTCTCTTCTCATGAGGTAGCCAAAGTCTTGGAGCCTCAGCTTCGGGATCTGTCCTTCCAGTGAGCACTCAGGACTGATTTCCTTCAGAATGGAGAGGTTTGATCTTCTTGCAGTCCATGGGACTCTCAAGAGTCTCCTCCAGCACCAGAATTCAAAAGCATCCATTATTCGGCGATCAGCCTTCTTGATGGTCCAGCTCTCACTTCCATACATCACTCCTGGGAAAGCCATGGCTTTAACTATACGGACCTTTGTTGGCAAGGTGATGTCTCTGCTTTTTAAGATGCTGTTTGTGTTTGTCATTGCTTTTCTCCCAAGAAGCAGGCGTCTTTTAATTTCATGACTGCTGTCACCATCTGTAGTGATCATGGAGCCCAAGAAAGTAAAATCTCTCACTGCCTCCATTTCTTCCGCTTCTATTTGTCAGGAGGTGATGGGCCCAGTGGCCGTGATCTTCGTTTTTTTGATGTTAAGCTTCAAACCATATTTTGCGCTCTCCTCTTTCACCCTCATTAAAAGGTTCTTTAATTCCTCCTCACCTTATGCCATCAAGGTTGTGTCATCTGCATATCTGAGGTTGTTGATATTTCTTCCGGCAATCTTAATTCTGGCTTGAGATTCATCCAACCCAGCCTTTCGCACGATGAATTCTGCATATAAGTTAAATAAGCAGGGAGACATTATACAGCCATGTTGTACTCTTTTACCAATTTTGAACCAATCAGTTCTTCTATATCCAGTTCTAACTGTAGCTTCTTGTTGTTAACGGAGAAATCTGAGGGTTCCCTTGGACAAAAAAACAAGGAGACCAGCCAGGAATAGCAGAGCAAAAGAGCAGCCAGTAGGCTTGGTCTTGATTGAAGACTGTCAAGACAGGACTCCCACCTGCCACCAGGTGAAACAAAATGGAAGCCCCAAACAAAAGAAGACCCCAACTTTTATTAGTATTCCCCAAACTACACCCCTGGAACTACATCACACCATGACTACATCTTTGACACATCACAAAAAGGAGGGGTTGTGGGAGGAGTTTGTGGAGGTAACCTGAGTATCTTGTCACCTGGCTGGTTCCCCCTTTCCCAGTGGCGTAGCGTGGGGGGTGCAGGGGGGGCCGGCCGCACCGGGCGCAACATCTGGGGGGGGGGGCGCTCGCACTCGCAGCTCTCTGCCCCTACCTGGCTCACTCACTCTCTCTCACTGCAGTGCTGGCTGTGCGAATCCGATCCGAGCCGCTGGGTTGCCGCCCACTGTGGAGGGGGGGTGCCAGGCGTGCGGTGCGGAGAGAGAGCGAGGGACTATCTGGGGGGGGACAGTGCAGCGGCCGCCCAGCGCAGCGCTGAGCGCGGGAGAGAACCACACCAGACCAGACCAGGCAGCAGCAAGAAGAAGCTGGCAGCGGCGGCAGGTTAGGGGTTAGGGGGCGCAAATTACTTGCCTTGCCCCGGGTGCTGACAACCCACGCTACGCCGCTGCCCTTTCCTCCTCCCCATGAGTACTTTCCAGGTGGCAAAGGGGAGTTTCCAGTTTCCTGCCCCCAGAGGGAAGATCTAATCATTGTCCTTTGTTCCAGTCCCTGCTGAATCCACTCCCATATGGAAGTCCTTTGTGACCATGATAGTCTTCTGTCTGGGACCATCAAGGTCGTCATGCCAACTGGGTAGGGCTCCTGAGTACGTGTTGGTACGCTTAAGGGATTATGGCCATCCTCTATTAAACCTATCCCCTTTGATAGTCCTTCCTTCATGGAATAAAATAAAAGTAGACCGGTGTAAATCCGATGTACGGTTGATTTACTATGAATTTATAACAGAAACGTCGTATGTGTCGTATTGTGAGTGTCGTGTTTGTACAAACTGAATGGTTGGGGGGGGGGTTCCTGCAACATTGTCCCACATAGCGATTTCTCAGGAGAAAACTGATGTTTTATTGTATTTTTAATCTTTGGTTGGAAGCCGCCCGAGTGGCTGGGAATGCCTGGCCAGATGGGCGGGGTAGAAGTAATAAATTATATATATATTTATTTATTATTTTAATTTCACTAGTAATGTAGCAAACACTATGAACAATACTGACAGATATTATAAAATATTCTGAAATAATATGCCGTTCGCGATGTCGAGCACAGGCAATCCTAGGCGCCGCCGCCGCCGGAGCAGC